GTGAAAAACGCTGATTCCTCGTGGGGAACGGGCACCGCACACAGTTCAAATGCGAGTTTTAATCCACTCCTCCCATTGAATAATTCCTACCAAAATGTGAAAAACGCTGATTCCTCGTGGGGAACGGGCACCACACACAGTTCAAACGTGAGTTTTAACCGACTCATCCCATTGAATAATCATCCTACCGAAATGTGAAAAACACTGATACCTGGTGGGGAACGGGCGATGCACACAACACACGCAGTTCAAACATGAGTTTTCACCGACTCATCCCACTGAATAATCATCCTACCAAAATGTGAGACAGCTGGCCTTCCACACGTTCTCTGTCTTCCCATTATTTCTGAACGTTCCTTCCCTTGGGTCCTGTCACTACGGCAAATGGTGGCCAATGGCACCCATGATACAGAAACCGTCCTGTGAGCCTGGATGCCTCCTCGCCCCAGAGACAGAGCCCTTCCTGGCTTTGACGTGCCACGATCATATGCTTTTTTTGTCTAGAGGAGATATGTTTTATTATGAATGGGTTATGTAACCCTAAGCACCTCGGTGTTGGTAATTCATGAAGAGTGTTTTTTTGTGAAGATGTTAGTAGCTGGCTCAAGTAAGAAAAGAAGTTGCAGTCTCCTCTTCAGTATTTTAGATCGGTTTTAAAAGAAATCAGGCAGAAATCTAGAGAGTACTTAATATGCCAGTAGGGAAGAGTACTAATTCGATTTACATTTGTTTAAATCTTACATAATTAAAAGACTGTATCCTACAAAATGTCTTATCTGATAAAATCTTGTAATTAGTTTATGTATCTTCTATGAAAAGAGTAATAAAACAAAGATTATTTGAGACAGTAAAAGAATTAACACAATTTTATATTGATGGGAAAAATGGAGTAATACACTTTTAAGTAACAGGCAACTTCAGATTTTACTCATCTATTTAATGTATATTGATTCACATGATGAAAGTGATGATTTTCTTACTAAATGAGCCAAGAGAATGTTTGACTTATATATTTATTAAATTTAAATCAATATAAGTCTAATAGGCAACCTCTAGGGGTGCCTAGATTCTCTTTTCCAGTTATTTATCAATTTGGTTATTTTGTTTGTTTCATTCAGCTTGTTTTAAAAAGAGTAATGATGCTACAATAGGGCCCGTGGAACATATGCTGGTACAACTCTTTATTAATTTAATACATATTTATTGTGTGGCTACTATGTGCGAATTTTCAAGTGCCGTCACTCAACACCTGCAGAGCACCTCGGAGGGCAGTGAGGGGCCACCCTCGGTGAGCTCTCTGCTGGGGCCTAGGGTGAGCAACAGGCTGGTGGTGAGGGGGGCGGTCTTTGCCAATCTAAATCCAATCTGGCCTGGGTATGAAGGAATTCTGCCTGAGCTACAGATCCTAATTTGATTCAAACCCCACAGGAGGCATGATTTTATTGTGTAGCTACCATGTACAAATTTTCAGAGTAGAAGTATTTTATTTTCCTTTGTAAGAATAGTCCCTTTTAAGAAAACTACTATCATTATATGCTCCAAAGCATATGGACCGCATCTTCCTAGTGTACACATAGGCATTTAGATGCATGGCAACCATATTCTATGTCTGCGGTAACAAAAGTCACATTACATTATTTTCATACAAATTCATGGGGAAAAATACTACTTTTAACTGATATAAAGAAATAAGAGAGAAACAAAAAGCAATGCATTTTCAGTTTGGCCCTTTTGTATAAAAGAACATGAAAAAGTACTGACAAGCTAGGCAAATTTTTTAAAATACCCAAATAATTGTCAAAAATTATTTACATTTTCTCAAATGAATGTGTCTACATGTACCAAAGATGATTATAAGTAAAAGTATATTTTAAAAGTAAAAATTAAGTATAAATGACACTCTTCTGATATTTGAAATGTCAAAAACAGTGGTCACTATATATATCCTATGATTGCTTATCATTTCATTGTTAAAACTTAATAAATTAAATATTATTTTTAATGTCCTAAAATACCAACTAGGTGTTTCTTCAGCCCCTCAGAAAGAACGTGTAGCTGGAAGACTGGTATTAAACACAAACAGAGTCCAGTAGCTTCATGCCCTGTGCCTGTAAGTCAACTCAATGCCATCTTTCATGCTCCACTCATCTCGGCTGACTTAAATCAAATTATAGTGTGGGGTAACTTCTGTAAACTGGAATTTCCTAAAACATTATTTTCAGTCCCACTAAATACCAAAAGCCTGCTCCGTTTTTACTGGTTAATTATAATTGGCAGGTCACTTGAAGTCTTGGAAATCTGCAAGTGGCAAGTGAGAGGTGAGACACAGAAATGTTCTTCTTCCACAAGCTTACATGGACCTTAATCTGCCAAAGCCTGAAATGGTTACATTGGCTTAAAAAAAAATGTGTATTTCCTAGCCTGGCACAGTGGCTCACGCCTATAATCTCAGCACTTTGGGAGACTGAGGCAGGCAGATCACTTGAGGCCAGGAGTTTGAGACCAGCCTGGCCAACATGGTTAAACCTCGTCTCTATTAGAACTACAAAAATTAGCCAGGCTTGGTGGTGGGTGCCTGTAGTCCCAGCTACTCAGGAGGCTGAGACAGGAGAATTGCTTGAACCCAGGAGGTGGAGGTTGCAGTGAGCCAAGATTGCACTGCTGTACTCCAGCCTGGGTGACAGAACAAGACTTCCTCTCAAAATAAATAAATTAAAATAAAATAAAATAAAATAATGTATATTTCCTGTAAAATCATTTACAAGAATTTTACATTTGTTTTTCAAATTAAGTTTAGGTGCTAACATATTTATTCTCAAATGGTTTTCAAGATCTACCAGTGTATTAGTCCATTTTCATCCTGCTATAAAGAACTCCTCAAGACGGGGCAATTTATAAAGGAAAGAGGTTTAATGGACTCACAGTTCAGCATGGCTGGGGAGGTCTCAGGAAACTTACCATCACGCAGAAGGTGAAGGGGAAGCGAGGCACCTTCATCACAAGCCAGCAGGAAGGAGAAGTGCCCAGCGAAGGGGTTAGAGCCCCTTATAAAACCATCAGATCTCGTGAGAACTCACTCACTATCACGAGAACAGCATGGGGGAAACCGCCCTCATGACTCAATTATCTTCACCTGGTCTCTCCATTGGCAGGTGCAGAGTATAGGGATTACAATTCAAAATAAGATTTGGGTGGGGACAAAATGCCCAACCACATCAACCAGTAAACCTGAAACATATAGTGTTTTAATTAATCTCTCATATACAAATTGGTATGAAACAGAAATAAATCAAATAAAATAGCTTTTTAAAGTGGGGTGACAAAATTGAACAAAACCCAGTGTCAAAAGTGCATGAGACATGTAAAGGGATTAATATCTCCATACAATAGGAAAAACTCATCTATAACAAGCATTTCTGAGAAAAATGTTATAAATAGGTGTTAAATGTTTCTGCCATGTGTGCCTGTAGACGGTGGCGGGGGGCCTTTGGGGTGCGCCCTTCCTCATCTCAGCCCAGAAGGGTAAAGTAACAAGAAGGTAACAGCTAAGACTCTGGGGCTGGAGGCAGTGATTTAAGAGCATCATGGGGCAGAAATCACACACTGAACCTGTGCCAGCTCATTTGGCATTGCGCCACGTGAGCTTTTCAGGTGAAAATCAGTGGACAGGCCCACCATAGACTTGCCATGGGGTTCTGAGGTGGCTGCTGGCTTAAGGGGACTCAGGCACTTCCCTCAAGGGTCCTTTTTAGGTTGGGTCTATAAGAGGCATAGGTGGGTGAAGAGAGAATTGAACCACTCTTAGTATCCTGAACTGTAATAAACCTTTTGATTTATTTTGTAAGCAGAAGAATATATGGATGCATAACCACAGATAAAGTTTTAATGCATAAGCAGCCTCTGTGAACGTTTGCAATTTTTTTCACCCAAAGCTGATCGTAGAAAATCCAAGCTGTTACTAACGCCGTATTTCCTCAGCAGCTGAACTACTTTAAACCTACACGGCTGCTTCCCTTCAGTAAGAATCTGTGAAATCCTCATTTGAAAAGGCAATGAGAAACACACATGCAATCAACTGAGAGCCTAAATGAAAATTACAGAACAGACCCTTTTCCATGAAAACAGTCAAAATCATTAACCAAAGATGAAGCAACCCATTACTGGTCTTCCAAATGTCAAAATAGTCGGCTTTAAAAGGTGAACGTTCTCTCAAACACTGTTTTAGAGCAAACAAAATGCACACCATTTGGAGGATTTTAAACTAAATTAGCAAAAGTCTTTTAACATCTCTGAAATCAGGCCAGAAGCAAATTTATAATTATTTACTTATTAACAAACATCTCCAATTTATACCTAAAGCTATAGTTTGTTTGCCATCTACAGAGAAATCTGTTAAAGACTTTAGAAAATTTAATTTGCAAATGCCAAATGTTAAAATATATGCTGGTGATCAAATAATAGGAATTATTTTCATGACTGAGTAACCAGGTGAAAATATTTACAGCTGACCCTTGAACAACAGGTTTCTGACGTCATGGGTCCACAGTTACAAGGATGTTTCCTTCGCCTCGGCCACTCTGAGACAGCAGGGCCAGCCCCTCCTCTTCTTCCTCCTCCTCACCCCACTCATCATGAAGACGATGAAGAGGACAAAGACCTTTATGATGATCCACTTCCACGTAACCAATAGTAAATATATTTTCTGTTCCTTATGATTTTTAATAACATTTTCTCTATTTTTGTAAGAATACAATATATAATACATATAACATACAAAACATGTGTTAACCAACTGTATTATTGGTAAGGCTGCCAGTCTACAATAGGCTATCATTTTGGGGGGCAGTTGAAAGTTATCCTCAGATGTTTGTGCCAGGTCTGCACCCCTCACCCCGTGTTGTTCAAGGGTCAACAGTACAAAACACTTAACTCCAAAAAAACCATCATTTTCTACATCTATTAAATCCCTCCTTACAAAGTGATATCAGGCAGCGTCTTACCTGAATTCTTATTGGTTTTGTTCTGCCGACTTTTAACCTGTTCAGTCCAAAGGGTAGGGTAACGTGATGCAATATCTACGAACCAAAATGAAATGATAAGCATTTTTAATTCATCATGAACGCACGATGTTCCTTAGTTACATAGTGCAGCAAGCAGTCCGAAAGCCAAAGTAAATCAATATAACACACGTTGTACATTTGTCAAGAAATAGTTACAATGATTATATGCATGAGACAAAAGGAAACCATAATACACGTTTAAAATATTTTTGGCATTCTTCTCTTTATCCAAAAGTATAGTTAAAAGCTCTTTGGGTCTAGACAGAATTCACTTTAAAAGAATCAGATTTTAGAAAAATACCCAAATGTACAAAAAGATATCCTTGTGTAGTTAAAATGGCTATTCACACAACATACAACATTTTCACTCAGTTGAAAGGCTCAATACAAAATGCAATATGTGAAATATAACTTTTGCTTGAAACTTTTTAGGAACACCCCTTTTGTAGTAATCTTGTTTAACAAATAAAATTGAATGGGCCGGGCGTGGTGGCTCACACCTGTAATCCCAGCACTTTGGGAGGCTGAGGCGGGTGGATCACCTGAGGTCAGGTGTTCAAGACCAGCCTGGCCAACATGGTGAAACTCCATCTCTAGTAATAATACAAAAAAAAAAAAATTAGCCAGGCGTGGTGGCGGGTGCCTGTAGTCCCAGCTACTCCTGAGGCTGAGGCAGGAGAATTGCTTGAGCCCGGGAGATGGAGGTTGCAGCAAGCTGAGATTGCATCATTGTACTCCAGCAGCCTGGGCAACAAGAGCGAAACTCCGTTACAAAAAAAAAAAAAAAAAAGGAATATAGTGCAGGTCACTGTTAGTGCGTGAGAGCACAGACCCTGAAGACGACGTCTGGGTCTGAATGCCATTTGCCATTTACACCCAGATGGACTTGGGTCAATTGCCACAGGGTTCTCATCTGCGGAAGGGCATTCAGAAGGCCCAGGGACTCACAGCAGCAGGGCCCACATTGTGTAGCACGTAGGGCCATGCAGCATTAGTCACCATTATTATTATTTGCAAAGCATAATGCAGTCCTACACTTTAATGTTTTGTTAATTTATACAGTGTATTCCTTACACTTTGTCTTTTAACCCTGGTCCCCTTTGACTTGGTAATTTTTGTTAGTAAATACCTAAGACAATGTATTAAAGGTAAAAACAGGAAATCTATCCTTGTTATGACCACTTGTAAAGATGTGATATGTAAACAGGGAAAATGGCCATACATTTTATATTATCCAAACTGTAAAATTTCAACTTAGAAATGTGTATTTAACAAAACCCTCATGAGAATGCGACATGGCGATATCGGAAAACTCCTCGCTCCAAAGACATCAGGAAAAACAGTGGGTGCCCTCATAAGGCTGGACACGGCCACACGCAGTCCATTTCTGCTTGTGAGTTTGCTCTCTTATCCCTGTCTAACATCATGATGTTTAGATACACATTTACCCAGTGAAATTATGTCTACAGCCAAGCAATTCACATTCCCAGCATCTCACAGTTACTTCACGGGTGTGTGGTTAGGAAATGTTTACTATGCCATCCATTGCCATTTCGTCATTAAGTATATTCCTCGTGCTATGGGCTGGATGTGTGGGATGCCATCCATTGTCATTTCATCATTAACTAGATTCCTTGTGCCGTACGCTGGATGTGTGGACTTGTCCATCCCACATAACTGCAGCTTTGCAGCCTCTGACCTCATCTCTCTATTTTCTCCATCCTATCCTACCCTTGGTGACAAACTTTCGGCTTGCTGTTTCCTTCTTCTCACTGTTGGGGTTTTGTTTGTTTTTGTGTGTGTGTTTTTGTGTGTGTGTGTGTGTTTTTTTTTTTGTTTTTTTTTTTGAGACGGAGTCTCGCTCTGTCGCCCAGGCTGGAGTGCAGTGGCCAGATCTCAGCTCACTGCAAGCTCTGCCTCCCGGGTTCATGCCATTCTCCTGCCTCAGCCTCCCGAGGAGCTGGGACCACAGGCGCTGCCACCTCGCCCGGCTAGTTTTTTGTATTTTTAGTAGAGACGGGGTTTCACCGTGTTAGCCAGGATGATCTCGATCTCCTGACCTCGTGATCCACCCGTCTCGGCCTCCCAAAGTGCTGGGATTACAGGCTTGAGCCACCGCGTTTGTTTGTTTTTTAATAGATTCCACATATAAGTGAGATCCTGTGGTCATTTCTGTGTCTGGCATGTTACACTCCTTACTGAATGCAGCTCTAACAGGATGACTCGCCCCACTTCCCAGCTCCGCGCCATCCCTCGCGCTCCTCCCCAACCCAAACTGTACAATCCCCGCCCCCGGCTCACCTTCTTCATCTCCTTGAGGCTGAGTCTCCAACGCCGGAGCCGCGGCATCATCTGAATTCAGAACGGAAAAGATTTGCAAGGAGACTACAATTATGAGAGTAAGTTAAGTAAGTGTGCATGCGGGTGGATGCTGAGGACTTCCACTCAGTCCCCACAGATCAACCATAACGCAACCCCACACAGACCCGACCGGACACTGCCTGCGGCCTCCACGCCCACTCTCGAGTCAGCTGCTATTTAAAATGCTCCAGGCTAGACACTGACCTAACTTCCACGTGGAAAACATCCGATCAGTTCTAAACTCTCAGAGCCAATCACAGGCCATAGGGCAGATGAGGAAGGAATCAAAATAATTAAGAGTAAAGAAAGTCTAGCCCTGGGAAAGAGAAGTCATAAATTCGGGCCACCGGAGGTTACAGAAGAGGGCTTGGCGGGGACTGGGGTGGGGTTGAGCAGAGCCATGTCCCCTTAACACGCCCTCTGTTTTCCCCAAGAGAAAGGCAAGGGCTGGAGAATTCTGGACCCCCTTCTACACCTCTGGCCCTCCCTCTCTCCACTGCTGCGGTGGAATAATCTAAGCGAGGATCTGAGGGGCGCATGGGGTGGAGGGGACAGGGCGAAAGTTATCAGCGAATGGAGGAAAGGGCGGGCTGGGGTGTCACAGGCCCCTGCACCACTCATGGACTCGCATTTCCCAAGTGGAGAATCTGTCTTTGATTAATTGACACACACACGTTGGGTTCCCTGGTAAAGTAAGAGGTTTTAAATGGCTCAGAGACCTGGCAGGATGGCAGGCCCGTGAGCCAGGAGTCCTCCTCCAGACACTCAGGGCCCCACCCGGGAAGCAATCACAGGGCACTGTGGTGCTCTCAGGATCAAACTTTTTTTTTTTTCACCTGAAGCTTGCTTATATCATTTTGTTAAATGGTAACTTTTGGACTGAAATACAGGAAAAAGTGGCAAAGATGAGGTCCAGCCATAAGACTTATGTAGATAACTAAATCACGAACTTCCCAGTGGTCTAAAGAATAAAGTTTGTCATAAGACTTTATTTTAGGGGAAAAATCAAAACAGATTTTCAAAAAATTTTAACATTGAGCAATCTCTCGAAAACAGTTTGCTAGCTATCAAAATACTGACAAAAATGTAACATCAGTTATTTGAAATATCCAAGTCTAACACTGATAATAACAATAAACTAGGAATATTTTGTGGTTGAATATTTTACAATCTTCTTCCAAGAAAATAAAACAAAATGGGAAACATATTTTAAACACAAGAACATACAAAAAGTCTTAAAATAACATATTTGAAATTTTTTGGAATGAGGACAATCAAATACATTATTACTGTTGTGTGTTTTTGCTGAGGCCTCACCAAGTCACCACTCTGAGGCCACCAGCCCATTCCCCAGTCACTGGGGCCAGGCCAGTCTGAAAGCTCAGCCTGAATGGCAAGCAGGGAGGGCAGGTGTGGTCTGGGTACAGGGTGACTAACAGGCCCACTGTCCATTCCTCCTCTCAGCCCTGATTCTGGGCACCAGAGGCTGTTCCCCTTCCTGCCCTGTCCACGCTTCCCCCTCAGCACGGTCATCATAGGCCCTACTCCATGCCCCCATCCCTCACAGACGGGGTGGCTCTGTCTCAACAGAACAAGGCCATTGGTGGCTGCTGAAGTCAGCCTTACAGAAATAAAACAAAAATCTCGAGCTGTGCAGTTTTTATTTTCCCTCTATCAGAGTCTGTGAAGTGTCTCGTCTTATTTGTGTCTGGAAACCAGCTCTGTTGCTTAACCCAGGTATCCCCTCTGCGTATTCAGGCCTAAAGTGGGGGGCCTGTTCTTTCCTTAACTCACTTTCATGCCCGTGTACTAATTCCTCTAGATTTTTTTTTACAGTGGGTACAATAAATATCATAATAAACAGGATTAGGAAATGGCCTCTGAAAGAAGATGATCCTTCCGTCTCCTCCTCCCTTTCCACATTTGATTAATTTTTCTAGTCATGAGATTGTCCCTTCCTTTCTCTACAAATGTCGACATGCCCACCCCATTATCTTCTTGACTCAATTCACGCAGCTCACTATTGCTCTATGCAACTTTACCCCTTCCTTTCCAAACATAAACCCTCTCCCAACCCAGTGTCCCCATTATGCCTGTCATCATTTTTTGGCTGGAAAATGAGCTATCTTCCTTGACTGTGAGGCTTCTTCTGTCCCAGCTCACACCTGTTACATATTTCCCCTTCCAGGAAGCTGCTCCTGCCTCATTCTTGGCAGGCGCCCTCTGGACAGCCTGACATTTACTCTCATGCCAGCTTGTCCCTCCAACATGTCTGTGTCTTAGTAATACAGAACTCTTTTTGCATAGGATCTTCCAGGGCAGGGACGGGCCTCACCACAGTTTCCACACATGCAGAAGGGACTGGTTGAATAAAATTCCAAATTTTTTTTTTTTTTTTTTTTTTTTTGAGACAGTCTTACTCTGTCGCCCAGGTTAGAGTGCAGTGGCGCGATCTCGGCTCACTGCAACTTCCATCTCCTGGGCTCAAGCAATTCTCCTGCCTCAGCCTCCTGAGTACCTGGGATTACAAGCATGTGCCACCATGCCTGGCTAACTTTTGTATTTTTAGTAGAGATGGTGTTTCACCATGTTGGCCAGGCTGGTCTGGAACTCCTGACCTCAGGTGATCTGCCTGCCTTGGCCTGGTCTGTCTTTATATTACTTTTGTTTGTTACTGATTCACTACACTGTCATCTTGAAAACAACCTCTGACTTTAAAGGTTGATGTAAGAGAAAAGCAGAAATGTGTCCTGGTACTGAAGGGTGTTGGCCGAAGCAAGGGCGGAGAAGAGGATGGAGACTTTCCCAGGGGAGTGGTGGTGGGCACGTGACAGACCCCGAAACAGGACCCGCAGGCTGTGATATGATGCTTAAGTTTAAGGGTTTTGTTCGGCTCTTGTTTGCACCAGTCTCAGAGGCAGGGATTGCTGTGGGTAGAAAAACAGTTCCTCCTCCTCCTTGTAGGGAGGAGTTGAGGCTTCTTGATCAGGGTCCTCAATAACTGCAATGGTTTAGAATCCCACAGGGAGCCAAAACACTGAGCCTCAGCCCTCTCCACAGCCACAGACTGGGAGGCTCCAAGGGGTCCTAACAGTGTCTGCTGATGGTCCCGAAACAAGCCACAGAGCACAGGCCCAACACCAGTGATCCCAGCAGAGCACAGACCCAATGGAGCTGGTGATCGTAAGAGTGAATGGCACTTGCTGAATGAATAAAGAAGTAACTGGCTCGGCTCTCATCCTTGTCTCTAGTGGATGTTTAAACTTTAACTTGAGAAGTTATTTCACAGGATAGGTTAAATTAGATGTTGCATATCATCACAGACATTTATTCTAAGATAGTTACCTGTTTTTCCTGTGCCTTCGCGTTGCGGTAACTTTTCATTTATGGAACCTAGAGGAGGAAATTAAGGAGTGGAGTGAAATGAAATTATTTTGGACTCTTAAATGGTCATCACAAATTAAGTTACGCACATGTTTTTGCTCCATTTTGATTAATTTGCAGTGCTTTGGCATGTTCTACTTAAATTCTGCAAGCTGTCTAGTACCCTGAGGGGACACTGTCACCTAAACTTGCAGACCCAGGACTCAGCAACAAAAGATTAGTTTCTACTTCCGGTGCTAAGGGGTTGCACATGTATAGAAGACCTTAAACCCCAATATATTACAGTCTCTTCACCTGAAAAATGTCATCATAACCGTAACATACATACCCATGTCGGGAGACTGAAGTGAATTAGGTAAAAAAGGAAATGTTTTTAAAATCCTAAGACATTACACAACCAAAGATAACTAAAAACCCTGATTTCAGCTTGATTCTGATTTAGAGAGGAGAATGGTGAGGAACTACCTTTTGGTAGACTATTGAAAATCTACTAAGTAACGTGCGACCAAGTTTGAATGTTTATATGTTGCTGAAAGATGTATATTACAAACAGAAAGTGTAGTTCTTTCTCTTCCCACAGATTGACGCCGCTATACGGATCCACTTCCCCCTCATCATTAGTATACCTACTCGAGAAATAAAAACGGTTCTTCTCAGAGTTTGTTGGCAGTTGAATATTCTGTTCAGAATTGAGTTGGAATTCCCATAGCCATAGACACGCCCAGTAAAATTCCTCAGCAGAAACATTTAGGAACTTGAAATTATTTGTTTCTGTTTTCTTTTTTTCAATGTTGAATATGACAGAAATACAGACCAACATTCATATTAAAAATAGAGCTTATGACATTTTGGGGATGCTTATCTTATTTTTGGGAAATGCAATAGTAATGTGGCAGGAAATTTACAAGCAATTCATTGGATGGCAGAGAAAACGGAGGAACTTGGAGGCGCCATCCATCCTCCGGCACTCTTGGCGGATGCTGCCTCGGGGTCGCATTGCCCAGACACCCCTGAACACACGTCAGCAGTTCCCATGAAGGAACACAGTGCAGCCATCCCAAACCCTCCTCTGTGACAGGTACTCATCAGACAATGCTGACTTCAGGAAAGCAGAATGAGGATTTACACGGGAATGTTCTCAGCGGTTTCCCTGCTGGCTGCATATCTAAAAATAACTAAATAATATGCGTTTGGGAATTTGCTGTCCCCAGGGGATAAAAAGGAACATAATTCTCCTGGTTCATCTACCAAAGCCAGCCCTTCTCTCTTTCCCGGCTGTTACTGTTACCATTTGGTTACATATTACGTTGTTTCCAGGCCTTGCAACACAAGGTTTTTCTTGGTAAGAATCCCTCAGGATACAAAGCTAACCTCACTGTGTGGCCACCTCCTGAAGTTCTCAAAATCCTCCTTCCCTTGTTTCTGCCTTTTGGACCATCTCTTTACAAATCCAGATTTCTTAAAGAGCTTAAGCTTCTTAGTCATCAGTTTATTTTTATCATGTGTTCCCGAAAGAGGCAAAAAGTATTTTCTACTTTTGACGGGAAATGATCATATTTTGGTAATATTTCTGAATATTTCTGTGCAGGTTTTAATGTCATAAGGAAAATGTAAATATGCTAATAATTATAATATCCTTCATGAGAGAGTTTCTCAATTGAAATAAGAAAATATTTTTGTACTATACAGACAGAACGGTACAGACTGCAGATTCAAAATTTCATGAGGGCTGAGGTCAGAATCCAACATTTAAACATTCTATACCCTCAGGCAGCCTCTGTCTCTGAGCCAACCAGGACTGTGGCTTTCTCATCAGGCCCTTGCATTCAATCAGTGTTTACTTAAATAAATCCACACAAAAATAATTTGATCTTGTTCTTCATATGTAAGAGATAATTTTAAGACAGAACCAAGTGTCCCTGGATCACCTGCTCTGTGATTCATGACTCAAATATTTTACAAGACAGAAATTGGAGGAGATTCTGATAGTGCGTTGACTTCACCTTTTAACTACCTTGGGATGAAAAGATGACGCCCAACCTTGCTGCCCCTGCCTTCCTGCAAGATCCTGGCCTCCAGAATGGGAAAATAGCTCCACATATTTCCAGAGGCCAGCAGAGCCATGCAAACACACAAATCCAGACCCCGAGGCTGTCATTGCATTTTTCTGGAGATAAGGATTTGCTGAACTTCCAAGTGTTTATAACAAGTAAGATTGCAGGCTGTACTTGCCGAAAGGGGGCCGAGAAAGAAGGGTTGACTGATACGCACATGTCTGCAGACAGTGAACACCTTTGTGAACCCTGGGCTGGAGGCTGGACCTTAAGGATCTGCTTGCTGTTCACAGACACAAAGGGTTGCTAAGTGATCCACCTCAGCCTTGGGTTCCAAAGGACACATCTGAATTGCTCCCATTTGTGAGATCCCATCCCACCTAAATGCTATTCTAAAGGGGTGGGCTTTGTCGTGATGGGGACATGAATTTCTGGTGGAAGAAACCACAAAGTACAATGTGAGGAAACGTCTCTGCTTTAAGGGAGGAATAATAGCTATTAAGTCTTGTAGCTTAAGCGCTTGGTTCAAATCCAGCTGCTCTCAGCCTTAACAACGTGTTGCCAGAACAGCCCAGTGGAGGGAATGGTGTTTTGCTGATGGAGCCAGTGGTTTACACAAGCTCCTTCCGGACGCCCTTCACACGTGAGTGAGGAGAGGGAGGTCTGTGGCACAGACGTGAGAGGGGTGAGGGGGCGGCTCCCTGCGGGGAGTCCTCCTTCAGAGCAGTTAAACAAGCCTACGGCTCACCCCTTCTGAGAACTTCGCATCCCGGGGGCAGGTTTACAGCATCAGATGAGGGAGGCGAGAGAAAAAGAAAAGGGAACAGCAAGGGCTGCATCCTCTGGTCTAGATGGCGTCTCCGTGCTACCCGGCTTTTCTCAAGGTTCCTGCCCTCCCATCCTCTCATCGGGACAACAGGAGGGTGACAGGAAAGAGGGTGCCAATTTCTGAGGATGTGGCGCTGCAGGGAGAAGGCAGGGCGTGGGCAGCAGAACAAATGTCCCTCCGTCCTAGCTCCGTGCCCCTGGCCAGGCACCTTCACCATGCGAAACCTCTGTTTCCTCATCGGTGGGGTGGGCAGTGTGGTGAGAACCCACCAAGCACAGCTGAATGGACCTAGGAGAGCAACCCACACACAAAAGTGCACGATGAACGTTCACCAAAGATGTGCCGTGTGTGCCATCGGAAGCTGCTGCTCCACGTGCTCTGCTGGACATGCAGCTGGGGGAAAGTCCCCTCCAGAAGAGCAATGCTCCCCACTCAGACCAAGCCATGCAAAACACAGCAGCCTCTAGGAGGGCACCAACTGGCCTGCAGCCCTCAGGCCCTCGCCGCCATCACCTTACGTGCATTCATTCCTGGGCTCACCCCCTCATACACACCCGTCACGTGTCCACAGGCAAACAATGGCAGGGACGCAGCACTACACGCTTTAGTCCAATTTGGGGAGGTGGGCATTAAACAGAATTTACTCAAGCAATGTCTATTGCAACTGTGTACACAGCTGATGTCTATGTAGCTCTTACTGTGCGCCAATCCCTGCTATGTCCTTCACAGACTTGAAGTCATTTAATGTAGATGCCAGCCCTGCGAGGTGGGACTGCCACTGTGCCTGTTACACAGATGAGGAAAGTGAGACCAAAGGGGTAAGTAACTGGCCCAGGGCCACTTAGGAAGCGGCAGAGCCAGGATCCAGGCCTGCTTTTGTCGCCTTCAGGAGAGCTGGCTTTGAGCAGAAAGGCCTGTCTGAGAGAGAGTGAAGGGGTGAGTAGGCACAGGCCAGAAAAGAAGGGAGAGTCCAGGAGACCACACACAGGCTGGCAGAGAGCAGCACACAGCCCGTCCACTACCACAGGGACATGCAGCTGCTCCAGACGCTGGAAGTGCCCCCTGCAAGCCCCACCTGTTAGGAGCGTTCTGTCCCCACTGGACATGCCCACCTGGCAGGGCTCTCTCAGGCCGGAGCCTGTTGGAGATGGTATAGAGGGCCTGAGTCCGCTGTCCTGGGACCCGGACACCATGCACAGTGTCCACCTCTGTGGACTGTGAAGCTTGTGGGCTCTGGTTGGCATCAGATCCATGATTTGGTCTCAGGACCCTTCCCAGTTAGGAACAGGCCAGGGGGTGGTGAGAAGGGTGGAACAGAGTGGTGTGTGAAATGGTGCAGTGGGACAGAGCCATCTGGGCACGGGCATGGAGATACCCTTGGAGTCGGAGTTCATGAAAACCAGCCAGCCCCGTGGGGATTCTCTGTCAGAGACATCTCAAGCAGGTGCCTCTCTGGCTAGACAAGAAATGGTTTTTCACACACAGTGACTTTCATGTTTATAAATAAGTTTTAAGTTTTTTGATCTAAGGATATATAAAATCCAGGGAGGAAAGAGAGAAGCCATCTACATTTTTTGCAATCTCATGCTTCAGTCAGCGTGAAGAGCGAGAGGGGACATGCAGGTATTTTGTGTGACCGTCCAGGTCCCATCAGTGTCAGGGAGCACCAGCCACGGTTACTGAGCACTGCCCAAAGCGAAGGGAGGAAGCAGCTCCGTCCCCTGGCGGTTCTCCTGGGTTGACTGCCGGCGTCCCTGCACCACCTGGGATGGGACAACAGAAAATCTGACCCTGGGCTCATCTTTGCTGCTGAGGACATGGTCAGCAGCCCTCTCCTCTAAAGGGCCTTTTATCTGCACCAAAACACCTGCTTCTGCAGGGGTCACCCCACGCCCCCACATTTCAGCAGGGGTCACCCCAATCCCCGGATTCCAGCAGCGGTCACCCAACTCCCCAGATTCCAGCAGGGGTCCCCCCACTCCCCACATTCCAGCAGGGGTCACCCCACTCCCCACATTCCAGC